AAAAAAAATGAAAAAAAAAAAAAAATAACGTTAACGTGTTAAATTAAAAACTTACTTATAATTAATTAATTAAATAATATCAATAATAATTTAAATAATTATTATTAAGAAAAGACAAACAGCAAAGAAAACAAAATTTGAAAAAAAAAAAAAAAAGAAAAAAAAATTATTATTCGCGAATGTGTTTTTTTTTTTAAAAAAAAAAAAAAAAAGATGTCGGAATTAAAATTCGAACAACTTTCTCGACGCAAAATGAGTAACGGGAAGGAAATTTTGGGATTTTTATACACATTTTGCGCGGGTCGCGAGTAACTCCATTTTTCTCTTTCTCTTTTCTGTTTCCCCCCCCCCTTTCCCCTTCTTTTCCCCTCTTTTTCCCCTCCTCCATTTTCTCTTTCGAGAAAATTTTCTTTTTTTTTTTTTTTTTGTACCCACGATTAAAATATGATTTTAATAATTTTTCTTAAATTTATTTTTTTTTTTAATTTTAAAATTTTTTTTTGTTAAAGTTAAAAAGTATTTAATTTGATTAGTTTGGTCGTTTTTTTTTTTTCGATAACCGGAAATGATGTTTTACGTAAATTTAAAATACGTGTATAAATGTCGAAAGTGGTACAAATGTAATGTTTGGTTGTTGTTGTTTTTGTCGGTAAAGTTTATTTTCCGAAAAGTTTTCCGAAATTCAATAATTTGTTGTTATTATTATTATTATTATTATTATTTTCATTATCGAACAAGAAAAGATTCCTTATATAGTTGTTTGGAGTTTTTAAGTTCATTTATTCCAGGTTTCTAACCGACGATTCCTTTGAAAAAAATGCTCCTCGAATTTCGTTGGTGTTATTTTATTATATTTTCCCGAAGAATGCGGGCCGTCCCACACAGTGCGATTTCCTGGATGGTTTTTCCTCCTTTTAAAGTCTTCAAAATCTTTTTTAAATTTTCTTTTATTGAATGTGGTGGCATACATGGCTTCCAGTGATGCTCCCACGATAACCGGAATAGTTTCTGTCTTTACTCCCCACATCCTGGCTATTTCAGCCTTTTGTCCGCTTCTTTGGCTGTCTTGTGTTTTTTCCGCGGGTACGGAATTATGCCTCAGGATGATATCCGGTTCGTTAGCTGTCGCAATTCTGTCAGTGTGGATTTTTTGAACATACAGAACCCATGGATAGACCTGCTGTCGTAATTGGGGTTGAAATGTGGTTGTACCCATTCCATGTATTTTCCAACCCCCAACACAAGAGCATTTTTGTACCCCGCTTCTATATGACGTAATCCCCATATTTTCCACTGACGTTATTATTATTATTATTTAATGTTTTCTTTGTAGAATTTAGAAAAAAAATTTTTTTGTGAACTCGACCGTTAACGACAATCTAAGTAATAATAAATAAATAATTTAAATTTGTAAAATTTAAATTATTTGTATTCGTTAATTTATAAAAAGGAAACGTTTTCGTGCGTGTGTGTGTGTGTGTGGGTGCGTACGTGTTCGTGTTTTTTTTTCTTGTTTTGTTTTGTTTTTCTTTTGTTTAACTTCAAAATCTTTGGATTGTAAAAAATCAATTATTAAAATTACTCCATTAATACCTTAAGGCTTTCTAACTTTCCCGTTTCGTTTTTGTTTTTTTTCTTCAACTACTAGGGAAATTTCGTGAAAATTTTTATTTCCCTCGGTCCCCCTTCCTCCCCTTCCTCCCTCTCTCACTCCTCCCCCGTGTGAATGACACATGAAAAAAAAATCCGTTTGAATTAATCTATGTTAATTATTATTATTATTATTAAATGTCCGGTCGGTTTAATTATTCGAATTTTCCTCGTTTACAAATAAAAACCTTTTTTTTTTTGGTTAAAAACGAATTTAAATTTAAATTTAAAAAAAATTTTAATGTAATTTTCATTAATAACGGAAAAAGAGGAGGAGTAGGAGGAGTATAATAAAAAATTTATACAAGATTTTTAATGAAAAACCATAGAGAAAATCGTAAAACTAAAGATTTCGAAGCATTTATCCGTATCCGAAAAATATTTGAGAGTTTACCCTTTGTCTCCCTGCCCTCCCCCTCCCTACCCCCTCTCCCGTCCGGTCATTATTTCAAAGGAAAATTAAAGGGTTTCCGGGGTTTACGACTTTGTCTCTTGGGTTACGATATGATAATTAAACGGAAAATGAAAAATTTTTTTTTTTTTTTTTTACCGCCACTCGATTAATAAATAAATATAAATTAATAATTTTTCGCCTACTACATTTAATAATCCTCCCCCGCCTCCCCTCCCCCCTCTCTCTCTCTCTTATTTTCACTTTAATTTTAAAATAATCATTTGAGTAAAAGGAGAGAGAGGGGGGGGGGGGCGGTCGGTCGAATTTATTTTTTGTTTGGGAAAATTGGTTCTTGAATTTTTCTTCTTTTTTTTTTTGTATTTTTCGTTCACTTAAATTAACTTTTGGAAAAATGGCGGAGAGGGGGAGAGGGAGGGAGAGGGGAAAATAAAAGAATAGAAAAGAAGTAAAAAAAAGGCACGTTTTCTTTTGGGTAAAAGGTAAAAATGGATACGAACAAAAGGCATGGAAAAAAAAAATAGTCAGTTTATTTATTTATTTTTATAAAGAAAAAGGAAAAAAAAGGAAAACTTTTAAACTTTTCATCGGTTTTTCTTTTCTTTTTCCTTTTTTTTTTTTTTTTTAATTTAAATTTTTTATTTTATTTTTTGTATTTATTTCGTAACAATAAAACAAGTTTTGAATAGGTTGTCAAATTAAAATAGGAGAAAATAGGATAAAAAGTTTCAATTAAAAAAAAAAAAAAAAAAAAAAAAAAAAAAAAGGAAAAACTTGAAAAAATTTTCCTTTTTTTTTTTTACTCTATGAAAATCGTTTAAACAAATTTTTTCTTTTTTGAAATAAAAAATAAATCAAATAATAATAATAATAATTAAACATTGATCATCTTATTATTATTATTATTAGTGCAATTGCTATCATTTTTTACTTCTTGTATTAGATAAAAATAGCAGAAGACGGACGAAAATTTTCCGAAAATTATTTTTTTCTCTCTTTCAAAATTATTCGAAATTTTACAAAATATGAAATTTTTTATTTTAGTTAATAATAATAATGATGAAAAAGGGAAATTGTTTTTTACGTATGAAAACGATTTTCTTTTACATGTGTGCGAGAGAGAGAGAGAGAGAGAGAGAGGGGGCTAAAACACACAAAAAACTCGTTTTATTTACGAAAAATTGTATTCATAATATTTTAAAATAGAAAAGGTTAATAAATAATAATAATAATAATAATAATAATAATAATAATAATAATAATAAATTTAAGAGGAATTGCGGGGGGGGAAAGGATGAAAGATTGAAAAATAATTTTTGTTGTATGATCCGATCCGCCATTTTAGCAAAAAAAAAAAAAACCGTTTTAGTTCGGTGGTTGTAATGCATATTGAGAGAGATAGAAAAAAAAAAAAAATTTTTTTAGAAAATTTAAAAAGTTTTTAAATTGAATTTTTTTTTTTTTTTTTTTATCTTTTGTAAGGGGTAATGATAAAACGGAAACGGAAGTATCGAAATGTTTTTTTTTTTATTTTATTTTTTTTTATTCTTCCCATTAGTTTCATTTCCAGAAGTTTCCTTTTAAGTAAATTTTTCTTTTTTTTTTTTTTTCTGTTCTGTGGGTTTTGCAATTAGAAGTCAGTTTATAAAGTTGAAAAGAGTAAAAAAAAAAAATTCTTTAATTTTTTCCTCTGTCTCTGTCTCTCTCTCTCTCTCTCTCTCTCTCTCTCTCTCTCTCTCTCTCTCTCTCTTTCTTAAATTTAAATTGAATTAATTAATTTTGTGTGTGTGCGTGTATTAAAATCAATGAAAATTTTTTTTCCTTTTTTTTTTGGAAAAAAAACTTTTTAATGATTTGACATCTTCTAATCATTTGTAATTATTATTATTATTATTATTATTATTATTATTATTACTTAACGTTCGATTTTTTATTAATTTAAATTTAAAAAAAAAATTAATTATAAAAATAAGAAGATATTTTCTTGTTAAACGAAAATGAAATGTTGAGCCCAAATTTAATAAAAAACAAAAAGAAGAAGGATGAGAGAGAGAGAGAGAATGAGAAAGTGAGAGAGTGAGAGTGAGAGAGAGAGAGAGAGATTGAGAGTAATTTAAGTTGCAGAACGAGGGTAGAAAAAAAAATAGAAGGAGGGGATGAAAAATTTCAAGTTTCAATATTTTAAAATATCAAAATTTATTCCTCCCCCCTCTTCCCCCTTCCCTTTTCTCCGATAAATTTTGTTTTTTTTTGGGAGGGAGGAGGAGGAGGAGGGGCGTTTAATTTTAGTTAAGGAATCATTTTAAAATTTACTGGAGAAAAATCTGGAATTAATTAATGTCGATTTTCTTATTTCTCTCTCTCTCTCTCTCTAAATATATTTTTTTTTTTTTTTTAAATTTTATTTATTTATTTATTTTTATTTCCGCATCGAGATGTCAACGTTTTATTATTACCCTTTTATTATTATTATTATCATCATTTAAATGATCGGGTATAAAAAAAAATTACATCACGTGGATTTTTGCCAACGGGAAACAGTCGGGATCAGTGGGGGTTGATGGAGATTTCTTTTTATCACAGCGTGGGTAAAATTTTTATACCACAAAACCTTTGAATTCCTTTTTTTGCCTTTCACATTTTTCCTTTTTAATTTTTTTTTGGTTCAAATTTTGGCGGAGTTTTTAGGAGGAGAAGAAAATAAAATGAAGTTTGAATTCGATTTTTGGCGGTTTATTTGTTTTTGACGTTTTTCGCGCACCCCCCCCGCGCCCCCTGAGCCCAATCTGTAATTAAAAATGGTGGTCGCGTATTTTCATAATTTAACGGTTTTGTTTCTAAAATTATTAAAATTAATATATAAATAAACACGAATGATACGTTTTTTAATTTTTCATCCCACGTCAAAAAAATTATTTTAAATAGTAATAATAATAATGTTAATGATAATAAATAATATGAAAGTTAAGTCTTTTTTTAAAATACAAAAAAGTTTTTATTAATGACGAGTGGAATTAATTATATATTTTATGTATTATTTTGTATAAAAAAAAATAAAATGAATGTAGATTTAAGAAAAGAATTACCGGAGAGAGAGAAAGAGAGAGAGAGAGAGAAAGAGAGAGAGAGAGAGAAAGAGAGAGAGAGAGAAATTAATATTTGCTCTAAAAAAAAGGATTTTGAATTTTTTAAAAGGTGGGCGGGAAGAGGAGGAGAGAGGGAGGGGAAAAAAGTACGTTAAATATAGCATTCATTTTTTATTTTAGTTCGAAATGTCAAAGGAAAGCGACGAAGATGGTAAAAATTCTGGGATAATGACGGGACAACCCGAAGATCCGCCACAAGTAAAAGCCGTCATTGTTCACGTTCCAAGAATCGCACCAAGAACGTTACCAGGACTCGCTAATGCCCAAAATAAAGAAGCCATCGATTGGTAAGTACACACTTATCATACACTATATGTTACAATTCTAAAATCTAATGCCTATGTTTTTTTTTTTTTTTGCAGGAGCGGTCATGGTCTCTTGGCATACGGTAGCAACTACACGGTTGTTGTAGTAGATACCAGAAACATTCAGGTAGTTCAATGTTTGGACAAACATAAATCCATGGTTAAGAAAGTTCTTTGGGGCGTCGATTACCTTAGACAAGATAAATTAACACAGCATCCTCCGAGATTATACGGTGGAATTGATTTGGTTTCGGCTGACGCAACGGGTCACATAATTGTTTGGGACGTCACTTCCGGTCAATCAGTTCGAGTTCTTCAAGATGGAACGAAACCAATAACGGGTAAGTTAAACATTATTCTCTTGCCTGCAGTTGCGATGATATTTTTATTTAAATTTAAAAAATTTTTTTTTAGATATGCATTGGGTCTCGTTGTGGAACGATCACAGTCACATTTTAGCTGCTCTTCATCCTCCTCATTCATTCATATTATGGGATACGAGAACCGGAAATAAAATATGGAAAAAAAATTACATGGAAAATATAATTGCATTTAACTTCGATCCATTCCATTCGTCGAAAATGGCATGTAAGATTAATTTTTTTTTTTAATTTTTTAATTTTTTTCTATAAAATTATTTAAAATCTCAAATCGATTGTTTGTTTCTCTCTCTCTCTCTTATTTTAAAGTTCATTGTTCGGATTGCATCCTCTTTGTAGAAGATTTTTCCGTGACGAAATCACCGTCATCTAACGGTCGTAAGTTTTACATATCCTCATCTAGATCCACGTTTTCCGGTTCGAAAGGAAGTTATGGAAATTTGACAACAGGGGTTCAAGAGGAAAAAACGGGCGCGAAAGATCGTTTAAGAAGATTAATGAAAGATTTAGTTTTCGGAGAAGTACAACCCAAGTGATTATAGTTAATTTTATATTTACACGATACGATTCGCCATTTTTTTTTTTTTTAATAATTTTTTCCGTTTTTTTTTTTTTATTTAAATCCGCAGATCCGACGATGGAATGGCTTTGAACGAGTGCCTTCAAGTTAATTATCATAAATCAATAAGACACCACATATTATTATTATATCCTCGTGAATTATTAATATTAGATTTACACATAAATCAAACGGTTGGAATTATATCAACCACCGATAAGGGTTCATCTTCCTTTTCTCAGGTTCGTGTTTTATTTTATTATATAAAATGAATGCATCGATAATGATAATAATAGTAGGAGCAGTTAAAATAATACGTCATAATTAAATTAAATTGTAAAGATTTTAATGTCGGATTAATTTTTGTAATTATTTTTAATTTTATAGCTTTCGCGTTATACATAAAGTTTTTAATAACGAATAATTTTATTACGAAAAACAATAATAATAATAATAATAATAATAATAAAGTAATTAAATTTTTATTTTATTTTTTTTTAAAGATATTTTCTTGCAAGCAAAGAGACGTTATTTATTGCTTACACGAAAGTGGAAGCGTTTCAGTTAAGCTAAAAAGAAAATTTGGATTTCCAAGTTCTCCAATGGATACGCCCAGCGTGTCTAGTTTAGGTCGGCCATTTTTTTTTTTTTTTTTTTCAAAGTTGTCGAATTGAATTGTTGAGTTTAATTTTTAATAATTTTTTTTTTTTTTTTTTTTGGGGGGGGGGGGGAGTAGAAACGAGTCCAGAATCACAATTGGAAATATCTTACGATCATAAATGTTCCAGCGAACCCCTCAGACAAACTCGAGGTTTGCAAATTTTAGGTATAACCGTTAATCCCGTTTGCGAAACAAAAATAGGTTTGTTTGATTATATTTTTCTTTTTAAACGTTTCAATCGTGCGGAAGAAAGACAAAAAAATCATGTAAAAAAAAATTATTTTTCAGCCATGTTTTTAAATTCTGGAAAAATAGTATTCATGGAATTATTACCGGTTAATAATAATAATAATAATAATAACGAGGATTCGAATTTTAATTTTACAATTCCGATGACAGGGATTCATAAAGGAAATAATTTTTCTAAAAGAAAATATTCATTAAATGAAATATTACCGCCTTTAATGAATGTAAGTCATATACAATAGTAATTTATATTATTATTATTATTATTATCGTCTATGAGTTTTTTTCTGTTTTTTTTTTTTTTTTTTTTAGGAAATTTCCATTCAACCACCAAATCTTCGTCTTCTAGTCACTGGAGTTCTTCCGAGCGTTTCTGCTCCCGTAACTGCCTTAAAAATGTGCCCCCCTATCACAACTAGAAATTGGAATAATTATACTCCATTACTCGCCGAAGGTACCGTCGGTGGCCTAATACAAATATATAATCTTGCATTTGGAATTATCGAAAAAGAACTCGTTGTACATTCCTACACAGTCAGGTAGGTATTAAAATTTTTTAACCGTTTTTTTTTTTTTTTTTTTTTTTTCAAATAAAAAAGAGTTTAAACGATTTTTTTTTTTTGTTATTTTTCAGGGGGATCGAATGGGTTGGATTGAAAACGTTTCTCTCGTACGCATATCCGAACACGTCGAACGCATCAGTCAATGTTAGAAATGAACTTTGTCTCACGGATGTTCTTACAGGAGAATCAACATCCATTCGAACGGATAAAGGAGAAGAGCCACCCATTGAATTATTAAAAGTTTCTCCATTGAAACAATATTTTTTATTATTTATAACGGGGGGACCGTTGGAATTGTGGGATTTAAAATCGTTGCAATTGTTAAAAGTTATGCGGAAAAAATTCCCGTTGATAAACACTCTGGTAAGGTTTAATATTTAATTTTAAAAAAAAAAAATTCTTTTTTATTTTCTTATTTATTTATTTTTTTTTTTTCAGGAATGGACGCTCCAATCCGGTTCGAGATCATTTAAAAAAAAACGTTTGAGTTCGAAAGAAGAAAACGTTTCGGATGGTTCCAACAAGAAAACCTTCGTCGAACCCACGGGAACATCTGCTCTGCAATATTTAACGAAAACTTACAGCGACAAAACGGAAACGTCGGATAAAATCATAGCAAAAGAACATTTCATATTCACGGATCCTGATAGTCACCTGTACAGGTTTACAGTCGATGGACATTCGGTGGATGGTAAAAGAATATTTCCAGAGGTATTTGACAAGGGTAAAATTCGGGAAGGATTTCAGTAAAATAAAAAAAGAAGAAGAAAAAAAAGAAAAATTTTTTGTTCAAGGGTGGAAATGGATCCATAACAACCCTCGCGTACAAAATGGAAATAATTGTTTTTGGTGATACCGAAGGTTCTATCACGGGTTGGGATTTACGTTCGGGACAAACGAGAAAATATTCGACCGGAAGGGGATTCGTAAAAAAAATTCGATTCGCACCAGGAAAGGAAAATATGAAATTGTTGGTTCTCTATCACGACGGCGTTGATGTCATCGATCTCAAGGGTGAGGTAGTTACGTGGAAGAAAAAAAATTTCGCGCCAAAATCATTTTAAAAATTATAATTTTTGAATTCAGGGTTATGTACCGGAAATGGCGACGGATTTGAAAAAATCGGACAGTTGAAAAGTCCTCGGGATTACGTTAAAGTTTTAGATATAGATTGGGCAGCATCCGATAAACCCGTAATCGCGACTCAAGATGGATGCCTTAGAATTATGGACGTGACGCTGTTCAGGAGTTCATCTCCGATATCGGATTACGAATTTAACGGTGTGAGAGAGAGAAAAATATAAATTTATTTAATTATAAAAAAAAATTTTTTTTTAAAACAACAACAACAACTCTCATGATTTATTATGATACAGAACCCGTTTTTTGTCCGGCATTGCTTCCTTCCGAAGTGGCATTTAAAGTACGAGAACGACTTTGTTGGCAACCACCGGATACTCCTTACACGACGGATTTAACCGTCGAACACGGATTCACGGAAAATCAAGTTTCGTTAATTAACAAACAATTACTCATGGTAGATGAAGAAAGGCTCGAATGTTTGAGAAAACCTTCGTTTAAAACCGTTGAAAGATGTTTGATAGTCGCTCAACTTTTCGGAGATGAAACGGAAATCGATCTTTGGACGGTCGCCATGTATTATCTTCAAATAAGTCAATTTAGATCTGAAATTAAGTAGGAGTTTCAAAAAAAAAAAAAAAATGGTTTTTAATGATTTTTTTTCAAAAATAAAATTTACACACTCCATGATTTATTTTTTAGACAAAACATGTCGCCGAAATCAGAAACTGAAAATTTATTATTATCATCATCATATTCCACCGTGAATAATCGGGATGATATTGAAAATTTAAATCGGATAAAAAATATCATACCATTGGATACTTGTTATGACGTTTTACAGGATTCATATACATATCAGGTATGAAAATGATAAGGTACCTGTGTAGTGCCTGTTTGCTTATTATTATTATTATTTTTTTTTTAGCGTTTACAATTGGAGCGCGTCGCATTACACGAAAGCAGAAGAACTGATTATAATCATACAAAACGAGTCATTCAACAACAGTTGCTGTTGGGTCAAAGCGATAGAGCAGTACAACTTTTATTAGAAACGGATTTAAATAATTCTCAATATTATCCCGATGCCATAAAGTATGATTTTTCTTTTTCTTTTTTCTTTTCTTTTTACGGTATTAGGGAATTGTAAACTTTTCAGAGCGTGTTTAGTTGCAACCGTACAATCGACAGGAGCTGCACAAAGTACCATTAAACTCGTTGCCACTAATTTAATAGCTCATGGGAATGATAATGATATATGGGAAGGTGTACAGTTATTGTGCCTTATCGGTAAGGGTCTCGATGCTTGTAGATATTTGACTTCATATTCGAAATGGGGAGCAGCTGTTTGGCTAGCAAGAGCAGTACTCACACCTCAAGACTCATCCGAAGTCATTAAAAAATGGGCGGATCATTTATATTCCCAGGGATATAAAGTAAATTTTTTTTTTTTTTATCTATATATTGACACGGGGGGGGGGAAAGAACATAAATTAATTATGACCTTTTTTTTATTGTCGTTTAAAGGAAAAGGCAGTTTTAGTTCTTATAAGTTTAGAACAATGGCAAGCTGCTCATTCCCTTCTTTCAATATTTGATCCGAGGCGAGCATCTCTACTCGCTCAAGCGTGTCAGGAATTTGACATAAATTTTTGAAATTTCAACAGGAACAAAAGTTGTTGTTGGTTTTTATCTCTTCCTTATAATAACGGTGCAATAAACTACAATTACATATAAAAATTAAAAAATAAATTATTTTTCAATTTTATTTTTTATAATAAAAATTTTATCATATAAATTTATATAAATAATAATTAAAAAAAAAAACTTGTTGACGTTATTGATTGATTGTTTTCCATTACGATACACAATTGACAGGAGTCAGGAGAAGAGGGAAAACTTAATATTAAAGTTGAAATAAAAATTATAAAATATTTTTTTTTTTTTATTTAATTTAGTATAACTGAGAAATTATTTATTTATTTATTGTACAATCACGTGATAATAAAAAATAATAATTGCAAACAAAAAAAACGGAAAATAAGAAAGAAAGGAAAAAATAAACTAAATATTAAATATTGTACTATTGCGACCAATCATCATAATAAATAATGTTAGCAATTTGAATTTTTTCTTCGTTATCTAATAAAGCGTTTAGTTTAAGATCGACTTTTTTACTTAAATCAATCGAATATAAAATGGCTCGAGTTCTTCTTGAATTTCTTACTTTTTGATTAATTATTCCATTGATTATTATCTAGAAAAAACACATGATTTAGATTATCGATAATAATAATAATAATTTACAAAAAAAAAAAAATTATAAATATCTAACTTCGTATCCTTCGACAAAATCGGATAAACTTCCACAAGGTTTTGTCCATGATATATATAAACTATTTTCTCCAATTTTTTTAAATTCTTTAACTTTTACCGATAAATTTTCACTTTTAATTGTTTCAATTGACGATCTTGATATTATATTTAATATTTCATTTGATTTTATCTGAAATAATTATCCCGAAAAACAAAAAAAAAAAAAAAAAAAAAAAAAAAACAAAAAAACAAATGAATTTAACGGTAAGAACGGAAGGAATTAAATCGAACAAAACAAAACAAAACAAAACCTTTTCTTCTGCTCCTTTGTTTTTTTTCTCTATGGTTTGAATTTTGTCGCGCTCGTAAACATTTTTAACAATATCCGTTTTATTATATATGTTCGATGAATAAATTGACGAATCGGAAACGGATGAGGATGCGAGTAGTAGATTGTTGTTATCTTTTCGATGTTTATTTACTCCATGAATTTTATTTGTTATTTTTTTCTGATTGTTAATTTTCATTATATTTTCACGTTGATTAACGATTTTATTATATAATTCGTTTAATGAAAACGATATGTTTTTTAAATTTTTTTTAAGATTATCAAATTCTATCGACTGAAATTAAATTAAATTAAATTGAATCGAATTAAATTAAATTATTTTAAGAAAAAAAAAGAAAATGTTTTTGTTTACCCTTCTTTCTGTTTTTTCTAAAAACGCTTGTAGGAATTTCATGGCTTCGTCATTTTCTTTTTCTAAATTATCAATTCTTAAAAAATTTTTTTCAATGCGATTTTCCGTTTTTAACGTTTCACTTTCGACTGATTGAAATATTTTTTTCCTTATATTTTTCATTTGATCCGTCGTAGACATATTTTTATTTAAATTACTATTATTATTATTATTATCGTCGATATTAGTATTGATGCTCATTTGAGATTTCGAATTTATCGTTTCGGTTGAATTTTTAATTATGCTATCATATTCTCTAACGGCCGAATCCAAATGAGATGCTATATTTAATGTTTCTGAAAAACTCGAAACGTTCGCATGTATTTCGAGATTTTTTATACTTTCCGTTAAAGCGTGTAAAAGTTTAAATATTCTCGTAGAACTATATTTACATATATTATTATCGGTGGGTATTAAATTTTCGTTTAATCTAACGGCTTCTTCTAAATTTAATAAAAGTATAAATAAATTATTTAACCTTTCTTGTGAATTTTTATCGGATTGCGTGGGTAAAACGTTTTGCGTAGATGATAAAAAATCATCGGAAACGATATTATCAATAAGAGAACCTTTATCGGACATATTTTTAATTTTATTTTGTAAATGTTTTCTCAATTCCGATTCCAAATCGGGTAAAATCAAAATGGCGTCGCTCAATTTAACTTTGATTACGTTGTTTTCGATTTCGTGTATTAATTTTAACGCCGTATCTAATTCTCGAGTGTTTTCATCGATTACAATTAAATTATCGATTTCGTCGTTTTTTGTTTTTATTAAAGTTTTTCTATCCATAACGTATGAAAAATTAAAATTTTGTTGTATTAAACGTATTCTCGCTTTGGTTTCGGGATGATAAAATTTTACAACGGATAAATTTTTAATTATTTTTTTATTTATAAAATCCCCATGATTTTCTTTAATTTCCGGTATTTTAATTAAATTTTTATTATCATTTTCGAAAATATCCAATAATTTATCGTTTGTTTTTTGTTTTATGTAAATCGGTATTATTGATGTACACGATTTACAATCTATAAAAATTTCATTGACGTCATCATCACATTTTTCATTAACGTCTAATTTAATTCTTATAAAATAATTATCATCGTTTTTAATTGCATTTTCACTTTTTTTCATTTCCCCTAAAAAAAATAAAACATGAGAAGAAAAAAGAAACATTTTTTTTAAACGAACGTTAAATCACGTGATCGGAAAAAGGCGGGAGGAAAAAAAACAAAATGGCGACACGAACCGATGTTTATAGTTTTAACGATGAAATTATCGTTTGAATTATTTTTTTTTTTCTCTTTTCGTATTATTTCTTGAATAAAATAATTTGGTTTAAATTTTTCTATTTCAACAGCTCGAGATATGTTTTCTTTGAGTAATGCTTCTGCCATAATTCCCAAATCTTAAAAAAAAAAAAAAAAAAAAAGAAAATTTGATTTTTCACCACCACCACCACCCCCCCCCCAAAACCTCCCCCAATTTTCTTCAATTTTACCTTTAGGTATCGAAATAATTTTTGTTTTATCATTAGAAAAAACAGATTTTTTTTTCTCAACGTAAACTTGTATAAATTCTTCCATTTCACTTCTGTCTTCTTTAATAGAAAAAAAAAAAAAAAAAAAAAAAGAAAATTAATTTTAAAAATGTCGTCTTTATAGTGACGTCATTACTTTCGAACGTTAAAAAAAAATATGTGAAACCTTTTATTACTTCCGGTTTTAAATTTTCCTGTTCGTCGTAAAAACTATCTTCTATATCCTCAATGAAAAAACTTTCTTTTTCTACTTTTGAAGAAAAAAAAAAAAAGGATTTTAAAAAAGGAAAATTTTGTTTGATAAAAAAAAAAGAAAAATTTTCTTTGTTTGTTTGTTTGTTTGTTTGTTTGTTCTTACCCATTTTGATGACGTCAGATTTTTTATATTTTTTAACAATGATGTCGACAATTCCACCGGGAGTTTTTGCACTCACCATAAATTCTAAACTATTAAATGATTTTAATGATTTCGTTGATGTTTCATCATCATCATCATCATCATCATCATCATCATCATCATTATTATTTAAAAAAAAAATATTTTTACGAAAATTCGGTTTGAAATTTTTTAACTGAAAAAAAAATTAAAAATTTAAAAATTTACGCGGGAAAAAAAAAAGAGAAATGTTTGTTTACATTTGAAATACCTTTAATTTAATATCTTCTGCTAGTTTGGCTATCCATGATGTTTCCATATCGAATTCCGTGGTTAAAGTTCCCGCGTTTTTTTTATTCAAATCTTTTTTTAAATCACCAAAACAATGATTGCTTTTATTATTATTTTGTATTATATTATCGAAAAATGGATCCGTTAAAGCTTCTTCGAACGATTCGTCATCTTCGCTGTTGCTCACGTTATTGACGTCATTATCCATATTTTGATTTGTTTCTTTAATAAAATGTAAATAATTTTTAAAGTCTTTTTCTTTTATTTTTATATTATTATTATTATTATTATTATTATTAAAAGTCGTTAATATCGTTAAAGAATTTGTTTCTCTTGGATTTGATGATGAATTTTTAACATTTATACTTTCCAAACTCGTTTGTTTTATATCCATTTGATTCCATTTTTTTTTTTTAAACACGTTTGATAAATCTATATCATTATTATCATTATTATTATCATTATTAACGTTATCGTTTTTTTCTTGAATAAATGTCGATGATTGTTGTAAATGTGAACGTTTTTTACAAATCGTAAAAGAAAATGAAGATTTAACTTTATTTATTGATGATGATGTTGTTGTTGATGATGATGATGGTGATATTTTAGAATTATTATCACTTTCTCCACCCTTGTACGATTTTATTAATTTTTCCGTATACGATTCGCCATTTTGAAAATTAATCTCTTCCGACGATGCATCGAACGGTATGACGTAATCGAATTCCGTTAAATTTAAATTTTTTTCAACGTTTTCACGGATGAAATTTTTTTTCCGATTTTTTTTCTGAATTTTTTATCATGACGTTATCGGGAAAATTTTCTTCGTCTGATAAAATAAAAAAAATAAAAATTTAATCGTTTTTCAACATTTATATGTAAATTTAAAAATTGTAAAATTAAAAAAAAAAAAAATAAGTGAAATTGGACCTTACTGGAAATGACGTACAAACAAGAATTTTCATATAAATTTTGTCGAATAATTTCAAAAAAATTAATAAAATCTTCTGTTAATTGTATCCAACGTGTTTTCATGTGTCCGACTTCGTTTTTTAACGAATTTAATTTTTTATCGATATCGTTATTGTTTTTAGTTAAAACGTTTATTTTATCTTTTGCTTTTTTAATGGCGACGAATAAATCGAGAACCGTTACTCCAGCCTCCGAATCTTCAAATAAAATATTTTGTACGAACGATGATGTGCTTTTATTATTATCATCCGTTAAATTTTTTAATTTTTCCGTATCCATTATTAATTTTTTCCTTTTATTTTCTATTTCTTTTTTTAAACGTTTTTGTAATGCATCACATTCTGATTTGTCATTCGATTGGGATAAAGAATCGATCGCCATTATTTCTGTAAGTATTAAAAGAAAAATTGATATATCGATATATAACATCCGGTTATTAAATTAATCGACTGTTTCCGGTTTTAATTTTTCACATATACTAAACTATTATTGTGACGTAATGTAAATTTTCGCCATTTTTCCCAATTTAACAATATTGTTAAAGTGAAAAAAATGGCATATCCCTCCCTCTCCCTCTCCCTCTCTCTCTCTCTCCCTCTTTTCCACGTTTTTCTAGAACATAATTATTTAATATTAAAAAGAAAATTTATCCATATTGGATTTTTTTAAAAGTCTTTTTTGAGAGAGGTGCGAATTCTTTTCCAAAATAATTTGGTCAATAGTTGATATTCAAAAGACATAAAAAAAAAATATATATATATATAAATTATTATTATTATTATTAATAATATGGAAAATTACTTAAAAAAAAAAAAAATTATACTCCAAATAAAAAAAAATATTATTTATTTAAAAATTTATCTTTTTTTTTAATAAACACAAATCGAAGGAGAAAAAAATTAAAAAATTTTGAATGGCACCACTCTCAAAATGGACAATGGAAAATGCAATAGGGATTAAAAAAAAAAAAAAAGAGAGAGAGAAAGAGAGAGATAGATAGAGAAAAAAAAAAAAAAAACCATTTTTTTTTGTTCGTTATCACAAAAATGATGATAAGAAAATAAATAAATAAATCTCTCTTAATTAATGTTTTTTCGCGAATTCGAACACGAGGGCAATGGGATTTCATTTTCAGGTATCGTCGAAGGTGATATTTTATCAGAATTAAATATTCCTGTATATTGATTTCCGGTTAATTTCATAATGGAAGGTTTTTGTAATAATTTCGCTATGGATTTGGGTGAAAATTCCGATGAGTTTCTTATATTATTCTGTAGCGTTTCTTTTACGATATTCGTTGTGGGTTTTTCTTCTCCGGGGGATGACATGGCGTTATCATTGAAAGTGTTGAAAAAAGAAGCCGTTTTATTTGACATCCGGTTTTGGAGTCCATTTTTACTATTATTATTATCAATCGTTTTTATTGATTTTAATTTCGAATCTTTTAATTCGTTTGTTAATAATTTATATTTATTTTTTAATGTATAATCAATGAGTTTATTATCAACTTCTTTTTCGTCTTCTTCTACTTCTGCTGCCACTTTTACTTCTCCTCCAACTCCTCCTCCTCCTACTCCTCCTTTTCTTCCTCCTTCTTTATCTTCTTGCATGCTAGTTCGTTTTATTTTATCAATAATAATATTATCATTTTGTTTGTTTTTTTTTTTTTTACTTAAATTTTTTTTCACTTTGTTAACGGATTCGACATTTTTATTCGAATTACTACTAACATCGGACAGGGTTAAATTATTCGATTTATTCGATAATTGATCGATTTCGATTTTTTTCATTTCACTTCCTTTTTCATTTATTTGAATAGTAAAATTTATCGTTTTTCCAGATAATTTTCTTTTATTCGATGACGATTGTGATCCTTGTGACGACCTCTTGTTGTTGTTGTTGTTCTTGTTAGGTCTCGTTACAATTTTAATCGTTCCATTATTATCATCCTGCACTTGCTAAAAAAAAAAAAAAAAATTTGATTTTTTTGAGAGAAAAAAAAATAATAAATAAAAAATCGTAAATTGTTTACGTAAATAACTTACCATTAGTTTAAGAATATTTTTCAAAAAATCAATTTCCCGCCATAATTTTTCATTTTCATTTT